CACCACTGGAACGAGATCAGAATATCTGCCACAAGGTATCACTGGGCTCTGTTTGACCACATACTCTCTCTGCTATACCAGGAGCATTCTGGGTTTTTGCACTCAAAGGGCTTTGCATGTCATAGGCTATGGAAAGCAGCTCTGGAATATTAAAGCACTACATTTACTTTCAGGATGTCTATTACCGGCATTCTGCGAGTGAAATAAAGGAAAAGCCTGTCTCAAGGAAGACTGGAGACACAGCCAAATCAACGTGCACTCATCTTCATAGTTCAGATTTTCTCCAGTTGGGCTGAATTATGATCTTTGGGGGCTGCTTTTTCTCTTGCTGAGTCTGGCAGTCTCAACATCAAATCCAGATGAACCTAAAACAGCCAGGGCTCTGGGTTGATGGCCCCAAAGCTCCAGCTGAGAGCCTGGCACCACACCTCCCCCGACAGCAGCGTCAGCTCATAAAGGAAAGCAGACCCCACATTCCATCTTTGTGTGACACCTCATTTAAACCCGACTGCTCTGCTTTTGTGTGACTTGATGTTATTTATTCCTTAGAGAGGGAATGAGTGACTCACAAGATCTTGTGATTCAGAGAGCCTCTCGCAGAACTAGGCAGATGGCAAGTGGAGAGCTGGGACAAGAGAAAGGATGACAGGAGGGTGAGGGCGGTCTTGGTCCCTCTGAAGTCATCAGAGGTGCCCACCCCCACCGCCCCCAGGAAACCAGCCAGAGCCCCTTTTACTCAGCAGGTGGTTGTGAGTGAGCCTGGAGCATTTTTAATCCCCCCCATCCCCCCCACCCCTGCCCACCGAGGGCCAGCTCTCCGGCCAATCACACTGCACAGTGCTTTCTTCCGGCACCCCCACTCTGCTTGTCTGGGTCCTCCTACCTCCCTTCCTGCCTGAACTTCTTACTTCTTTCTGTACTTCTTCTTTTTTAAAAAATATTTTATTGGGGCGCCTGGGTGGCTCAGTTGGTTAAGCGACTGCCTTTGGCTCAGGTCATGATCCTGGAGTCCCCGGATCGAGTCCCGCGTCGGGCTCCCTGCTCAGCGGGGAGTCTGCTTCTCCCTCTGACCCGCTTCCCTCTTGTGCTGTCTCTCATTCTCTCTCTCAAATAAATAAATAAATCTTAAAAAAATAATAATAAAAAAATAAAAATATTTTATTTATTTATTTGACAGAGAGAGAGACAGCGAGAGAGGGAACACAAGCAGGGGGAGTGGGAGAGGGAGAAGCAGGCTTCCCGCTGAGCAGGGGGCCTGATGCGGGGCTCGATCCCAGGACTCTGGGATCATGACCCAAGCTGAAGGCAGATGCTTAACCAACTAAGCCACCCAGGCACCCCTTCTTTCTGTACTTCTGTCTCTTGTTCTGTTACCTGTTTATAGGTCTCTTCTGCCCAGTGAGGCTTTTGATGACATATGTATTGCAGAGGTTAAGATCATGAATCTGGAGCCAATCCACAGGATTCAACCACTGAATCCAGACTGTGCCAATTCTCAACTATGACCTTGGTCATGTTAGTCACCTTCTCTGGGTCTCATTTTTCTTGCACGTAAAGTTGAAATGATAACATCTATTTCTCAGGTTGTTTAAAAGGCCCTATAGGAATCTCACGTTTATGTGGATTCCCCATACATATGTAATGAAATTTTATGTTCTCCTGTTAAATACTTGATTAACTCATTTCATTAAAGGCCCTGCAACCATTTTGTGAAAGAAGGAAGGAGAGAAAAAAGGTGAAAAAGGAATCGTGGGGCCCTTGAAATAAAGGACCAGGTATTATTCATTTTTCATTCTGTGCCTCATTAAATTCATTTATTTGTTCCTGAGTTCATGCAATGTTCCAGTTACTGAACGAAATCAGTCCCTGCCCTCAAGGAGACCACAGTCAAGAGGTGAAAATGAATGACATCAGTAGTTGTAACACGATGTGATGGCAGCTGAGGGACAGCTGGGTGGCATTGCTTGGAAGCACATGGCTCCAGAGCCTGGGTTCAAATTCTGGTCCTCTCACTTCTTGGCTATGTGATCGAATAAGTTACTAGCACCTCTCTCATGGGATTGCTGCAAGGATGGAGTTAAAAGATGAAGAGAGGATGCCTGGGTGGCTCAGTCGTTAAGCATCTGCCTTCGGCTCAGGTCATGATCTCAGGGTCCTGGGATCGAGCCCCACATCGGGCTCCCTGCTCTGCGGGAAGTCTGCTTCTCCCTCTCCCACTCCCCCTGCTTGTGTTCCCTCTCTCGCTGTGTCTCTCTCTGCCAAATAAATAATTAAAATCTTAAAAAAAAAAAAAAAGAAGAGAGACCAGAAGAGAGCCTGGCATAGAGTGTTGAATACATGTTAGTTATGAGTATTAAGTTTATATGCATATACATGCATGATACATATATATGCACACACACATATGCATAATAAGCACCCATTGCTGAGTGCAACGAGAGCACAGAAAGTGGGAAAGTAAACTTGAGTCTGGTAGGGCTGCCAGGAGGAGGTGACCCCCAGGCCCAGTCTTTAGGAATGAGTGAGAGAGGGGTGGAGAAGCAGAGGAAGGCTGAGATGCCAGCACAGAAAAAACAAAAGTGTGAGAAGAGAGAACATCAGTCACGTCCCCGGGGGAGTGGGGGGGCGGCACAGATAGATGTGCTGGAGACTCAGACAGGAGCTGAATCACACAGGCCCTGCTAATGAATTTGGATCTTGCCTAAGGCCAGTGCAGGGCGATGCAAAGAGTTCAAGCTGGAGCCTGCTGTGAACATTTTGGCACTTTCTAAAATACCACATTTTTCATAGCATTAGCCAGCCATAATCTACTGTGGTCATGATCCTGAAGCCCCATAGGATGCTGAAGCAAAGCCTGAAAAAGGACTCTGTTCAGTGTTATATTCTTCTAGGGCCAAAAATATTTTACTTTATTCTAATTCTTTGGGGAATGATAAATTCTTTGTGGGAAGGATCCACGTTTATTTTATCTCTACAATCATCTAGAATAATATGTAAGTACATCAGATGTGTCCAACAAATACTAAGTAAGAAATTCATATAATCCCTGCACATTATATATATATTGGTAATTCCTAGTTATTTGAGGCATTTAACTGACCATTCTGATGGAAAGTGGCAATGAGGGTTGGGACGTGGACTTGATTTTAGCAAGATGTTAAAGGACAAATGGCCCTAGGGTATTTGTGGGAAGTCAGACTTCCATGTAATAGGGAGGCTGTTCGTGTTTTTTAACAAAACCAGTTAGAAACTCTTCCTTTCATACCACAAAAATGGCAGAGGGTCACTTCTGACTTCTGGTAACACAGTGTAAAACTAACGATAGAATGATACCCCCTTTCACTTGGAAAGGAAAAGGGGGTGAAAAGAAACTGGTAAATCGCAAAGAGTAATGTGGTCTGGGGGATCTACCAGGGAACACCGAGCCTCCAAAACAACAGTATCTTGACGCACAGCCTTTGAATCCAGGCTCATTCATTCATTCATTCATTCCGCTGCTATTTAGGAGCCCCTCCTGTTTCTGACATGCCAGGTATACAACAATGAACAAAACAGTTATCATCAGGTTCTGTAGCTCAAGAACATGACACTGAGGCAGAGCAAACAGGCTTTAAAAAAAATAAGCTCAATAATAAGTATATAAGAACAACGCACAATAAGTGTTATGGAAGAAAACAACAGGGCATCCTGTTATGAACGCGAAGGGAGACCTACTTTCGTCTGGGTGGGGGTCAAGGCAGGCTTCCCAAGGAAGAGTCAGAGAAGGATGAGTAGGAAAAAGCCAGGACAGGCCTGATGAGGCGGGGCCTCCAGTGAGGGGGAGGCTCCAGGCCAGGCCTGAGGGGGACAGAGCTGAGTGAACTTGAGGAACAGAAGGAAGAGAAGGAGTGGGTGGTGGAGGAGCCAGCAAGGGGTGAGCAGTGTGGAGGGGCTGAAGCCAGGGGCATAGAGACCAGTTAGGATTGTAGGAAATGGTGAGAAATGATGGGGGCCTTCTATTTGACTTACAACCTGTCTTCCAACTCAACACACTCCCTGAGTCCCAGTGCCCCTATCCCAGGGAAGAATCTCAGTTGAGGTGGGGGTGAGCGAATTAGATGACAGAGGCACCCAGCAGCTTCGCCTCCTGTGTCGGACCTTGGGAGTGGCAGGAAACACACATGGACAGAGAACAATAGAAAGAGAAGGCTTGGGACCCAAACTGACCTGGCTTTCACTCCAAACTCCCAGTGTGGCCTTGCACAGCTCAATCTATAAAATGAGGATAACGATACTCTAAAGTTTGTAAAAAGGAGTGCATGGGGATGGGTGAAATGGGTGAAAGTGGTCAAACGGTACAAACTTCAGTTATAAAATAAATCATGGACGTTTAATGTACAGCATGGTGACGACAGTTAATCATACTGCATTGCATATTTGAAAGTTGCTAAGAGAGGGGCGCCTGAGAAACATGCACCTCTTGATCTCGGGGTGGTGAGTTGGAGCCCCACCTTGGGTGTAGAGATTATTTAAATAAATACAACTTAAAAAAAAAAGTTGCTAAGAGAGTAGATCTTAAAAGTCTTCATCCAAGGGGGAAAAAACTGGGGGGGGGGAGGGGGGATTACTGTATAGTGAGGGATGTTAACTAGATTTATTGCGATGATCATTTCACAATGTACACAAATATCTAATCATTATGTTATACATCTAAAATTAATACAATGATATATGTCAATTATACCTCCAAAAAAAAAAAAAAAGAGGCTTGGCTATAAGTGAAAGTAAACACTTGACCTCCGGAGGGCGTTCAGTAGATGGTTGTTGCCATTTTGGGGGGACAAAGGAGTTATCTGAACCACACCGAGGAGGTAGAACCTCCCAGGTGTCCAGGCTCCGGAGTGAGGTGGGAGCCTCCAAGAGCCGGATTTCAGCCTGAGCGGTTGCGGGTGGGTGCTGATGTCACCCACCGAGACAGGAACCGCAGGCAGGGGTGGGGTGCGCTTGCTGAGCGAGCCGAGGGGCGGAGCAAGAGGAGGAAGCCGGGGCCAGGGCAGCTGCGCAGGAGGCGAGCACCGGGCGGCGGGGAGAGCGGAGTGGGGACCCCGCGGCCGCGAAGCGCGGGGACGGCGCTGCGCGGCGGTCGCGGAAGGACGCGGGCTCCGCTCGGCTTGGCGGGCGCCGGGGCGCGGCTTGCGCCGGATCCCTACCTGCGCAGGTGAGCCTCCCCGGGTGACAGCGGGAGGCACGGCGAGGAGCCGGGGGCGGGGACGGGATCCCTGTGCCGCTTAACTGCCGGGGTCCTCAGGGGCGGGGGATGCAGAGTCGCCCCTGCCAATCCCTCCTGGCCTGGCGCGGGTTCCGGCCCAGGTCGGGCAAGCGGGGCGGGGGGGCTTGGGGTCGTGCAGGCGGCCTCAGCCAGGCTGGAGATGGAGCAGACTCCGGCCGGCTGATTGCCGGCTTCCCTCCGCCGCCACCAGAACGTGCGGTGACCCCGTCCTCATCCTGCTGCGGGCCTCCCTCCCCCTGCCCAGGTGTCGGCGCTCCTGCAGCCCCGACCACGGAAAAAGTGAAGGGACCCCGACCCAGACCAGGGCACGGTGGTGGGAGCTGCACTCGGATGGCATGACGCTCCCAGGAGGCTTGCTCAGATGTGGACTGGTGATTCACGGGGTGCGAGGGGGCCTGACCACCGAAGCGGAGACAGGGCATCTTTGCTCTCGGATTTGAGGCAGCGGCCTAACGCCTGAGCCAAGACTGTCTACTTGGGCTTTAGGTCAGCAAAGACTTCTGGAGCTCCGCAAGAAATAGAGTCAATCTGAGGGCAAAGCTGCCCTCTACTTACTGCTCAAAGGCTCACTAGGTGCAGGGTGCTGAGCGGGGGCTTTATGGACCTCATCCCTCATCTTCATCCCTCATCCCTACAACAGCCCCTCAAGCCCCTTGCTGTGTCCACTCCCCCCACTTAACAGGTGAGAAAGCTGAGGCCACAGACACCCCAAATCACTGGCCCCAAAGCACAGGGCTGGCAAGGAGTAGAGTCAGGATCTGAATTCAGATCTCTGATTTCAGGACTTTGCACTGTAGGGCATCCACATGCTGCCTCTATAATGGTCCCCTTGGTTCATACGCCTGGCAGTTTAGTAGCAAACAGAACTGGGTGTGACAAGATGTTCACTTTGCAGGGAAATCAGTGGTAGAGAGGCCAGGGCTGCGGAGTGCAGTGGCCATTGTTGGGGTGAGGGGTGGGTTGGGAGGGTTCATGGTCCACCTGGAAACATGCCCGTCATTGCCAAATCACAATTCTGAGCCATGTGGTACCAGTAATTCATTCTCTCCTTCAGAAACTCCCACCCCTCTGTTATCAACTATACCTTCTCAGTCATTTCCTTGGCCTGTTTTGTTTCCTTTTTCTTCTCTTGTCGGTATTCCCTTGGCCTCAATGTTCACATTTTCCAATACTCTTTGTAGACAATTTTACTCATGTTTCTTGCTTTACCTGTCATCTTTATGACAGCAACTCCCAAATTCCTCTTCCCTGCCTACCCCTAATCTGTAACTCCAGACCCAAATTATCAAATATTCTAATTCCTACTGGCTAATTCCAGTATATGCCCCACAGGTATCAAATCCCATGTTTCCAAACTCAAATTTATCATCTCTGTCCTTCCCCACGGTCTTGGTTCGGGTCTCCTCAGTTCCTTGGCTGGACTGTTACAGCCCTTCCAAACTGGTCTTCCTGCCTCTGGAGTCCATCCACCCCTTGAAAGCTCAAGAGTCTTAGTTTTTGGTGCCTTCAGAACTGACCAGAGAGAATAGGCCTTTCTTCCTCTCCTAACTTTGTACCCTGTACATACCTGCAAAGGAGCCCTTTGCATGTTGGATAACTGCTGACTTGTCTGTCTTACCCCTTTAGACCAGGAGTTCCTTCAGCACCGATTTGTCTTTGCTCCATCTTTGTATTCCCTGGCCTGGCACATAATAGACACTCAATAAATATTTCTGGTAGTTAGTGCCCTTGTCATGAATTGAAACTTTTTTTAGGGCACAATTTTTAAACTGTACATAGTGTGTCATTTCGCTGCACTCTAAATCTGATCTGTCCCCATGGTGAGTGAATTTGTGTGTGTTGGTGGGGGAGGGGCATTAGAACATGAGTTTACAGGCGGTTGGGGATTAAGACTAATGACAAAATCAAAGTAAGTTTTCCAAATTGGTGAGTTGAATTTTTAAGGTTGATAGAAAATTCAGCCATAGTGACTGAATAGTGTGACATAGCACAGTGAGTCCTTCTACTTTCCTTAGACACCGAGTCCACGAGTAAGCTGAGTGCACTCACCAAGAAGAGAAGCAAGGACAAAGTCACCATGGCTTCAGTGTCTACTCACGGAAACCAAGATAAAGGCCACCATTTGCCACCACCAAGCAAGCAGGTATATTTTTAATTCAGAAGTCTGCCAACTGAAGCGGAACATATAGGACTTTCCTTAAGCTTCATCCTTGAGCAGTCATCTTCCTGTTTTCAGTCTAGCACTTTGTTGGATGGGTTCAGAGACAATGGGATGGGGAAGGAAAGTATTTTTTTTTAGCTTCCTTGAAGAAGAGCCTTTAAAATTTTTATTTATAAAAGCCTTCCTTTACTCTTCCCTGTTTAGAATCCAGCCTAACTAACTCTTATGTAGGCTGTCAATGACTGAAGAAGTTTCCTATAGCAGAGAAACACTCTTAATTGAATCTAACAGAATGATACATCATGCTTGTTTTTGCATTGTTGTTGCCAAGGCTAGTCGTACTAAGTATATGCTGCTGACAGGCGTTCCTTAACTACTAAATTAGCAATCAGACTGAGAACCCTAGTGTTAATAGGAGCACAGTCTTTCAAAGAGTGAAGAATGAATATTATATGTTTCGGGGACACATACACGAAGCAAAGAGAAAGTATCGTGATGGGTGAAGGGAGTTCATGTCCTCTAGTGTCAACTTTTCCAACTAAAAATGGTTTCATGAAGGAGGTGATGTTTAAGGAGCAAAGATTAGGAGAGGCAAACAGATAAATGGTATCAAGTCACAAGGAAAAGAGTGTAGACACCCGAGTTGCCTTTGAAATAGAGAGCCATGAAACATTTATGGCTACACAGGAAAGGATCACCAGAACTCTTCCGGGGAAAACTATGCAGAAGCATCAGCCTTGACTGGAGGACTCACAGCAATTGTAGTGGTCAGGGTCCCTGGGGTGGTCAGGGTTTGGGGCAGAGGAGGGAAGGAGGCGTTCCCTACCTCTGCCACAGCCACAGGCAGAACCAAGGAGAGATACTTACAGGAGGATGAGGAGTGCTTGCTGAGGAACTAAGGTGAGTGGAGAGGGAGAACAGCTCCTCTTGTGGCTGTGACTCATCCTGACCACCATCATCCGTGTGCTGTGCTGTAAGGAGTTGTAAAGAAAGAAGATGGAAGTTTGCCTCCTTGAGCTATTAAGAGAACCCTGAAGGCATAGATGCCACAGGGTCCTTCCACCTTGTCATCAGGCACGGAAAGTGCTTGGCACAGTGCCTGGCCCATGGGAAAGTGCTCTAGAAATGGTGACCATCATCCACATTGACAGCTACTACAAAGGGTCCAAAAAAAGAAAACTGGCAAAATCAGCAAGGCAAAACTCAAAAGCCAAAGAGCTGCCCTCAAGAAAAACACTAAATATCCAAGAGGTAAATGGCAGAGGTCCTACATAAATGAGTCACAATCAAGGAAATACAAATGTGACTTGTATAGCAAGGAACAAATTAAATAAAATTTGTTTTTAAAAAAATGAATGAATCACCCAGAGATGGAAAAAATTATTTTCAAATCACGTATCTGATAAGGGTCTAGTATCCACAATATACAAAGAGCTTTGACAGCTCAACAACAGAAAAACAGCCCAATTTAAAAAATGGGCAAAGGACTTAAATAGGTATTTCTCCAAGGAAAATATATGAATGGCCAACAAGCAAATGAATAGATGATCAATGTCATTGGTCATTAGGGAAATGCAAATCAAAACCACAGTGAGACACCATTTCACAATGACTAGCATGACCATAATTCAAAACAGAAACCATTTAGCTTATTTAGCTTAAATTAACTAGATAATTTATATTAAAAAATTTAATGTGCTAATTTGAAAAGAACAGAAACAAAAGAGAAAACGAGAAGTGTTGACAGAATGTGGAAAGATTGGAACTCTCCTACTCTGTTGGTGATCATACAATGGTGCAGCTGCTGTGGAAAACAGTTTGGCAGTTCCTCAACAAGTTAAGCATAGAATTACCATATGGCCCAGCAGAATTGAGAACGGGTGTTCAAACAAAACTTACACATTCACGTTCAGAGCAGCTCTATTCACAATAGCCAAAAGGTGGAAATGACCCAAATACCCATCAGTAGATGACTGGATAAACAAAACGTGGTATATCCATACAACAGAATATTCCTGAGCCACAAAGAGGAATGAATTACTGACACATGCTACAACGTGGATGAACCATGAAAACATTATGCAAAGGGAGAGAAGACAGCCACAAAAAGAAACATAATGTATGATACCACTTACATATCCATACAGACAGAAAACAGATTAGTGATTGCCAGGGAGCTAAGGGTTGGGGGGAAGCAGGAAATGAGGAGAGGCTCCTTAATGAGTATGGAATTACCTCTTAGGGTGATGAAAAAGTTCTGGAACTAGACGGGGGTCTTGACTATACAACACTGTGGAGGTACTTAGTGCTGTGGATTGTGTACTTTTAAATGGTTAAAATGGTAAATATTGTGTTTTGTGTATTTTACCACAATGAAAAAGTGGTATACCAACGTATAACACAAGATGACAGCCCAGGTTAGTTGAGGGATTGCCTCAACGTTCGAAGAGAAGGGCATTCTGGCTGAAAATATGTAGATTCTCAAACACATTAGTTATCAGAGAAATGCAGATAAGAATAAAATATTACACTGTACCTATCAGACTGTCAACATTTGGAAAACTGGGTAATGCCAAATGTTACAAAACCTGTCCTTTAACCTGCTTCGAATCCAGCTTAACTAGCTCTCAGGCAGGCTCTGTAGGCATAGAGGAACGTTCAGGCCCTGCTGTTGTGAGTGGATACAGCCTTTGGGGAGAGAACTCCAGCAAGACTTAGTCAAATCGGGAACACATGTGTCCTCTGTTTTACTTCTCGGTATCTATCCGCAAATGTTCTCACAGAGGAGACTGTAAGCAGACACACGGTGGTGGGGACTGGGAGGCACGCTGGAGAATTAGTCAGCAGTTGGAACAGTGACCTAGATGTCTAAGCAACATGGCTAGATCTCCACTCAGAGCAGATGCTTTGTTAATGATTCCGGTCAACTCACCACATAACTTTCCTTACAGAGTCTGTTATTTTGTCCAAAATCAAAACTGCACATTCACAGAGGAGAGATTTCGAAGATTATCCGAGAATGTCAAGAAGAAAGTTTCTGGAAGAGAGGTAATTGCACCCCTCTTAATCTTCATTAACTCGATATTTGTTGCAGTAAGCTGCCCAAGTGTCATGTTAGAATGATGGTAATGATTCACTTCTGAGCAGGGACTTTGCACTTCCTCTTTCCAGGCCTGCCTTATGTAAGACGAGGGTGTGAATTCACGCTGTGCGTTAAAGTCTCTTCCAATTTAAAAAATTCATGATCTGCCATTTGAAAATGTCATGATAGAGCCTGTAGATATAGTCCCAATGATTTGCAACATTGAGATAATTTAAACTTTGAAATATGCATTTTGGTTTCTCAGATCAGTCAAGTTCAGTGTCAACTGATTGGGAAGTAACACTTTAGAACCTGATACTCATTATACATTATTATGATTATTGATTGTGCTCCTAGAAATCCATGGTTTTTTTTTTTTTTTTACAGCTTATGAATCAATAACTTAAGTAAGCACTAGTAGATTAACATTTCAATATGACCCATTTGTCTACCATCAGGTAGATAAGAGTGGAGAAATCGGTTGCTATTCGATTTTTCTTGGTTGCTAGGAAGAGCTAGATGTTTATCAGCGCTCTCTGCTCTTGGAAGAAGTGTTGCATTTTGATAGAACTCGAAACTGTTCAGACCCACTTGCCTGTTTTAAAAATCATAGCTCGGGCGCCTGGGTGGCTCAGTCATTAAGCGTCTGCCTTCGGCTCGGGTCATGATCCCAGGGTCCTGGGATCGAGTCCCATATCGGGCTCCTGCTCGGCAGGAAGCCTGCTCCTCCCTCTCCCATTCCCCCTGCTTGTGTTACTGCTCTCGCTATCTCTCTCTCTGTCAAATAAATAAATAAAATCTTTAAAAAAAAATAAAAAAAATAAAAAATAAAAATCATAGCTCAACACCACCCATGTTTAACACAAGTATGATAATCTTGTAATCTTCAGAAAATAGACATATCCAAATTGTGCAGCCAAGTATCACTCAAGACGAAAGCTAGGAATGCTCCTAGATGGGGTAGGACGGAGTTTATTGTGTTGTTTTTTTAACTTTTACATAGGATTGAAAATTTCCAAAGCCACGGTTAAAGGCAACTCCCCAGTTCAATGGCTAAGTGGGCACATGCACTAAGATGCCTTTGTCGTAGGTCGTGTTCCGAATCTAGTGCATGTGGGCACTCAGTAAAATCAGATGGCGGAGATGGAGTAGCATGGGGTTCGGTTTTGTCCCCTTAATGCTGGGCTTCAGGTTGAGCGACTGGGGCAGATCTCGAGAAAATTCTTCATGCGGTATTTAATAAATATTTGTTGAATAAGTAAAATAACAAATGACTGAAAACTCATTGCCAAGGTAGATAAGAGGGGAAAAAAACCACGGACTAATTTCCCCTGACTTCTGGATGAGGTGCCAAGTTTTAAAATAGCAATATTGAAGGGCATTTTTCTTTTGCAGCTCTGCCTTTTTCTCTTGTGAGTATGCTTGCCGCCCAAGGACTAGTCCACCAAGGTAAGATGCTAGATCCATTAAACAATTAAACTTAAGAAAGCCCCATTTTCACTGACCCTCCTGGCAGCTTTTTGGCACATGGCATTTGTTTTTTGGTGAGGGATCTATTTATGCAGGGGTTTGCTAATTTTCAGACTAAGTCCCCCCCCTTCCAAAGATGTCCTAATCTCCAGAATGCGTGGCTCTATTAGGTTATGTGGCAAAGGGAAATTAAAGTTGCAGGTGGAATTAAGGTTGTTCATCAGCTGACCTTAAAATAGATTATTTCTGGGTTATCCGGATGGGCCCAGTGTAATCAAAAGGGTCATGAAAAATCCAAGAGTGGATCAGAAGACGGAACCAGAGGGATAGCAAGCACGAGAAGGGCTCAGTCCAGCATTGCCGGCTGTGAAGATGGAGGAAGGGCCTGTGAGTCCACGGACGTGGCTGGCCTCTAGAAGCTGGAAAGGCAAGAAACCCTAGAGCCTCCAGGAAGAATGCAGCTCTGCCAATCCCTTGATGTTAGCCCAGTACTATGGTCTGAATTCACATGTTGAGCTCTTAACACCCCGTGCGTGGTATTAGGAGATGGGGTCTTTGGCGGGGAGGTGGAGTCCTCATGAAGGGGATTAGTGCCTTTGGAAAAGAGATCCCTCAGAGCTCCCTAGCCCCTGCCATTACATGATGATACAGCAAGAAGTCTGCAACCCCAAAGAGGACCCTCCCACCCAACCATGCTCGCACCTGATCTTGGACTTCAGCCTCCAGAACTGAGAAATTAATTTCTGTTGTTTATAAGCCCCCCCAGTCTGCCATATTTTGGGATAGCCACCCAAATGGACCGAGTCACCCAGTGAGACCCACTTTGAGCCTCTGACCTCCAGCACTATAAAGTAACAAATTTGTGTTGCTTTAAACCACTAAGTGTGTGGTAAGTTGTTAGAGCCCAGGCAACCCATGCAGTGCCTTTCTCTGTGCCAGAGTCCCTGTATCTCCCTGGGGCTCCGCATATGGTTAGACAGATTGTCTCCTTCAGAAGCGGATTCCAAAGAGGAGATACATGGTGCGGAAATCCACCATGCTCTGCCCATCATGCCATTCATCGTGACTGCATCTGCCTGAGGAAGGACACCCTGTCTAATTTGAACAACAGATCCAGAAAACTAGCAGCCGCCCAGCATCTCCCCACATAGTCTCTTCCTGCCTCTTAGAGTTTTCCACTTCTCCTGTCTGACTCTCTTCTTTCTTCTTATCTCCATCTCTCAGAGCCCCCTTAGGCATTGCTTGGGCCCCTAACAAGAAGGCACCTGACTTTGCTGAAGCCCACTATACTGAACACTGCTGATTACCAGGACTTTAAAAAGAGTATTATACCCAGCAAATGTGAAGGAAAATGTTCTAGTTCTTTTCCTGGGGTCTCAAAGACCACATATGTCATATATCTAGGAGAATCCCATTTCACTCAATATTACTCTTGTCTTTAAAGTGATTTATTAAATATGATTTCATTTTTTAAGATTTATTATTTATTTGAGAGAGATCATGAGTAGGGAGATGGGCAGAGGGAGAGGGAGAGAAATCCTCAAGCAAACGCCCCACTGAGCACGGAGCCTGACATGGGGCTCGATCCTAGGACCCTGAGATCATGACCTGAGCCAAAATCAAGAGTTGGCTACTCAACTGACTATGCTACCCAGGCGCCCCTGATTTCATTTTTATAACTTGAAGAAGATAGCCTTTTCATAGAAATATATTCATCAATCAGTAGCAAGTCTTTGTCAGACCATTTCTGACAACAAAAAATTATGGCCACGACATCTATAGGGATTATGTTTTATAGATATTAAACTGCTTAACATCTACAGTCTCCTGCATGTGTGCAAATATACTTTTCCAGGTTTGTGTATTAGTGTTCTGTGGCTACTATAATAAATTACCACAAGCATAGTGGCTTAAAACAATACAAATTTATTATCTCACAGTTTCGGAGGTCAGAAGTCCAAAATAGGTCTCAGTGGGCAGAAATCAAAGTGCTGGCAATGCTACCTTCCTTGGGAGGTGGGGGAGGTTGGTCTGGGGCTTCCCTTCCCTTTCCAGCTTCTAGAGACCATCCACATTCCCTGGCTCATGGCCCCTTCCTCTGTCTGCAAAGCTAGCAACACTGAGGCAAGTTCTCATCCTGCCATCTGTCTGGTTCTATCTCTGAATCCCTCTTCCACATTCAAGGTGATTACATCTTGATTACATTGGGTCCACCCCAATAATCCAGGGTAATCTTCCTATTTTAAAGTTATCTGGGGACGTGTGGGTGGCTCAGTCGTTAAGCGTCTGCCTTCAGCTCAGCTCATGATCCTGGGGTCCTGGGATCGAGTCCCGCATCGGGCTCCTTGCTTGGCGGGAAGCCTGTTTCCCCTCTGCCTGCAGCTCCCCCTGCTTGTGTTCTCTCTCTCTCTCTGACAAATAAATAAAATCTTTAACAACACAAAAAAAGGTTATCTGATTAGCAACCTTAATTCCACTTTCTTCATAGTTTCCAGGGATTGGGATGTGGACATCTTTAGGAGACCATAATTCTGCCTACCACAGATTTTAATGTTTTCATTTAAAAATTATGATATATATACTATGAATCTCTAAACTGAGACTCTGTGTTGGGTTACTTAAAAAGAGGAGGGGGCGATGCCTAATTGCTTGGAACTAAGTTGTTAGCTCCACCTTTGCCTTGATAGCTTTTTATTTTTTTTAAGATTTTATTTTTTAAGTAATTTCCACACCCAATGTGGGGCTCGAACTTACAACCCCGAGATCAAGCGTCACATGCCCTAGGGACTGTGCCAGCCAGGAGCCCCTCCTTGATATCTTTATTTATTTATTAAGATTTTACTTATTTAGAGAGAGAGAGAGAGTACATGAGTGTGAGAGACGCGAGCTGGGGGAGGGGCAGAGGGAGATGGAGAGAATCCCAAGCGGACTCTGTGCTGAGCATGGAGTCTGGCATGGGGCTTGATCTCACCACCCTGAGATCATGACCTGGGTGGAAACCAAGAGGCAGCGTTCAGTGAGCTGAGCTATCCAGGTGCCCTCCCCACCCGCCCCACCTTGATATCTTTAAATCGGTCTTGAATTTTCTGTTTCATATTCTTTTTCTCTACATTTTGGCAAGCTAATACTTGCTACTTGCCAAAAACGGTGATTTGAGAGTTAAGTTCAATCAAGAATTGACTTATAACTCTTTAAAAATCATCTCTTTAGATTGAGAATCTGTATATCTTAAACTTTGAAGTTTTCTTTATACTTTATAAATTTAAATAAGTTATAAAATGAAATACTAATGTATTTATATATTACTCCATAGGTTATTTAGCATCTAACCCAAGATTTGGATCATTGCCCAAGGTTGCGTGTAAGTTACAGAAGTTAAAAAAAAGAAAAAAAGATTCATTTTTTTAAAAGATGTTTATAGCAACTGGAGATATGGATGTCAGGCTAACCAAACTGCCTGTGTTGACTCTCTGAAAAATTGGTCTCCGTTTTTTGTCTCTTTGCAGTTCTTAGTTCATGCAGCACTTTCTGATATAAGGCTGAGCAGTAGGGACCCCACCTTTAAGCCTGGACCAAGAGGCACCAGCAGGATATACTATGAGAAGAGACCAAGAACAGAGCCTCTGAATGATAGAGCCATTAGGGGTTTTAAGTTTTCTTCTTTTGGCCAGGTTTTTCAAAATATTTTCTATAACGGACCTAGCAAATGAATACTTTTTAAAAATCAGGGACTTTCTAATAATACATTTACCACAAACTTGGGGGTTCATCTTATTCCACTCATTACACATAGACCTGTTATGTACAAAGAAGATGCAATCCAGTGTAGAGTCTGAAACCTCTTTCCCAGCAAGAAGAGCAGGTTGGCTATTTCTCCCCTAGGAGGTTCCCTCTGCCTCCTGACCTCTCCCTGCAGGCAAGATGGATTGCAGCTCCCCCTACTCTAACCCATCAAGAGAGTTAAGGGGATTTCCTGCCAAGGAATTTGGAAGCTACCTGTAGCCACACCCCAAACCCCATCCCTTCCTTCCGTGGTGGCCTCAGACGTTAATTTGCCATCTGGGCCTCCTTCTGACTGCCTGTCTCTGAGACAGCACCTTCGCTTTCTCTATCCTGGCCCTTCTACCATCAGCTCAAAACGGAGGAGATTGGAAAGTCTCCATTTCCCAATCCTGCTCTTTAATAGGGAGATTCATTCGCAGTGGTTGTGTTCGTTGATTTGTGGTGGTACTTTTCACATAAAATTTACTATGGTTCATGTAGAAAGGTCTAGAAGATAATTAATGGAAGAGATTCTGAACTTTTAAAATTATCTTTCCTAACCTGCTTTTACAGTTGCAGGTATCTTGGGATTTGCCCTTGGAAAGGCGTCATACATACGAGTATGCCAGAGTAAATTCCATTCTGTTGAAGATCAGCTACGTGGGGCTGGTTTTGGTCCAGGGCATAACAGGTTTGTAACTTAAAAAAAAAAAAAAGTTATTAAGTTTTTAATTTTAATTCCAGTACAGTTAACATACAGTGTTATATTAGTGTCAGGTGTACCATCTAGTGATTCAACAATTCTAGAAATTACTCAGTGCTCATCATGGTAAGTGTCCTCTTCATCCCCAACCCCTATTTCACCCATCTCCCCATCTTCCCACCCTCCTCCCCTCTGGTAACCATCTGTTTGTTCTCTATAGTTGAGAGTCTGTTTCTTGGTTTGTCTCTCTTTTTTTCCTTTTGTTCATTTGTTCTGTTTCTTAAATTCCACATATGAGTGAAATCATATGGTATTTGTCTTTCTCTGACTGACTTATTTTGCTCAGCATAATACACTCTTGCTCCATCCATGTTGTTGCAACAGGTTTGTAATCTTTTTGATTGAGGGATTGTAATGAAGATAATAATAAAAAGTTAGACAAAGGCCTTTTCACCACTTATAATATTAAACAATTTTCTAAATATATGTTGGAAAAAAAACCTCTTTAACTCTCAATTTTTGAGCTGTTGCTATTCAACTTCAATAATAATTATTTATTACACAACTTAATTACCTATTTCATTTGCTCAACATTTCGTGAGCACCTACTATGTTCAAGGCATTGTGCAAGTCTCTAAAGAATACCTTCATCAGCAGACATGGCTTCTACATCACGGGGCCACACAGAATGGGAACAGGTTTCTCTGCTGCAAGACTTCTCAGAACCCTTCTAGGTTAATGTGTATCGATTCTCATTCAGTGGTGCGAGCCGCAGGACTGTGGACTTAAGGACATTCCTTCTGCGGCTAGAGTACCTGGGTGGAAACCAGTACTACCACTTACAAAGCTGGGTAACCTTGGACAAGTTTCTTACACTCTCTGATCTTCAGTTTTCTCCTCTGTAGAAAATGGTGATCAGAACTGTTTTCATGACATGTTATAAGGAACAGAAATGATTATTTAGGACAGTAAGTGCTCAGTGAATAATAGCTGTTTCTACGAGGGTATTTATAGGACTGGTGGTGGGGACACATTTCTCTAAAGACCCTCACTTGTCACAGTGGATTCTACTTGAGAGGCAGCATGTGAAAACAATGGACATGAAGAATTATTGGCCCCTTTGTTCGGATGAAATTCTGGGGGTCTCAAACCAAGAAATAGCTCCTATTTTTCCTTTAAAAAATGAGGCTTGTGAACTTTAATGTAGAAAATGTCCCTTAGGGGGTGCCTGGGTGGCTCAGTTGGTTGAGCGTCTGATTCTTGATTTTGGCTCAGGTCATGGTGTCAGGGTCATGGGATTGAGCCCTGTGTTGGGCTTATAGGCTGCATGGAGCCTGCTTGAGATTCTCTCTCTCCCTCTCCCTCTGCCCTCCCCCAACACTCGAGCTCTCTCTCTCTAAAAAAAAAAGAAAGAAAGAAAGAGAGAAAGAAAGAAAGAGAGAAAGAAAGAAAGAAAGAAGAAAGAAAGAAAGAAAGAAAGAAAGAAAGAAAGAAAGAAAGAAAGAAAGAAAGAAAGAAAGAAAAGAAAATGTCTGCCAGTAATGTTGTGTTAAGACTAGACCTTCCAGAAGAAGAAGGTAGCGGGAAGGGAAGAATGAAGCAGGGGAAATCGGAGGGGTGGACGAACCATGAGAGACGATGGAATCTGAAAAACAAACTGAGGGTTCTAGAGGGGAAGGGGGTGGGAGGATGGGTTAGCCTGGTGGTGGGTATTGAGGAGGGCACATTCTGCATGGAGCACTGGGTGTTATGCACAAACAATGAATCATGGAACACTTCATCTAGAACTAATGATGTAATATATGGGGATTAACATAAGAATAAAAAAAGACTAGACCTTCCAGTGTCAAAGCACAAACTTCTGTTTTTGCCTCCATTCTAGGCACTGCCTGCTCACCTGTGAGGAATGCAAAATTAAGCATGGATTAAATGAGAAGGGAAGTTCACAGCCTTCGGCTTCCTAAACTTGTACCTGTGGCTTTTGATGTTTCTTAAACCTCTGAGTTTGGACACATTTAAAATTTCAAGTGTACTTTAAAATAATATAAGTATAGTGGCACAGAAACATTGTGGTTCTCTCACCCTTTTGAAATGCTTTCTGTGGAATAGCCTCTGTTGAATTGAGCAGTATGCATTTGTCGGCTATTTGAGAACATGTCCAGAGCAGTACACACCAAAAAAGAAATTATGTGGCACCCCTTAACTTGCTTACAGCTAAGTTGAAAAAACATAGAGTCTTCTCTGACCCGTTCTTTCACTCTGCATTTGTTCAGGGTTTTAAGGTCTCTGCTAGAGGATGGGAATGAATGTTGCAGAACTTGGGAAGTCATGCCCCACAGAAAACCAATGTGTATAGAGGTAGAAACAAAGGGCAAGAAAGATTGTATCTTATAAGCTTGAGAAGTATTTACTAAAATGTAGGGACCAAGATTTTTAATTTAATAAAAAAAGATTTCCCTTAAAAGAGTTGGAATCTGAATCCACTGTCCTTTCAGTGACCCAGGTGACTTTATGCCTCATGGGTAGGGTAAAGTTTTGGCGAAGCCCACCATCTTTAGGTTACTTGTTTCGCTAATCGGTGCGTGCTCATGGTCAGCACTAAAGAACTGGGCTCTTTTATATACTGCTGGTGGCCTGTATATAAACATGTACAACTTTCCAAACTGCCTCTCCTCTCCCAAGGAACAGTTTGTTTATGGCAACAATCACTGGAAGAATTAATTCATGGAATGATAAACTTTTAGGGCCATACGGAGCTTAGAAGAAGCCAATCCAAACCCAGGAGGTGAATTCGTATCCTCCTACCAGGTTTTTTGCATGAAAAAACAACCAACCAACCAACCTCTTCCACTGGGGACCTTGTGTTGTTTGAGCCCTACATAAAAATTTCCCTTGCATCTTTGCATTTTCTCGGGAAAATGCTTTATGTATGTGTCACCACTTCTATATTGAGTGTGTGTGTGTGAGTGTGTGTACATGTTTGTATTTAACTTAATACATTTTGAAACCTATACCATGGAGGTAAAAAGGGAAATCTCATCAGAAGTTAATAATTGATATAAATGTTTTATTTTAAATATAAAAAATATTGGGAGTTTTTATTTTTACGTGACCATTAAGGTCACCATTTTACGTGACCAGCTGAAATGGAGTGATTTTGACGCTGTCTCCTGGCTATCTTCCATAGCCTGGTCGTTCAGCTGCTAAAGTGCTGTTTCTGTCCATCAGAACACAGAGCCAGCATCCCAGCTTCATGGATGCAGTTAAACTCCTGGCTCCAACAACTAGCACTTGGTGACTCTTTGTTCTCTCAGTGATTGGCAACCATTCAGAATTAGGCACATTTGTTTCCTGCATGCCAGAAACGGATTTCCCAGGGATCAGAACATCTTCACATTGCTAAGCACAGCAAGTCAATGTTGAAATCCGTCTTGGGGTACTGGGAAAAGACGAATCTATTATTGGTGAAAGGGCCCGTTGTTTCACAGCTGACATCTTCATCACTCTTTTGAATCAAATTGGATTTATTGGGCTCTCTGCTTTTCCTAGGCAGGTAAGTTATTCATTGAAACAGTTTATCACAGTGATGTGAAAGGAAATCAGTAAAGAAAAAACTGGAAGGTCACTTAAGACATCTCAAATATTTTGCCACATTATCTGTTGCATATATTAGGAAACGCATATCTGGGGGAGAATGTCTGTTTCTTGTAGGAAGATGTGTCAAAGGAGTGGCCTTTGTCTTTCAGCATTTAGAAATTACCAACACTCATCACCACGCTGGTCATCAGTTTGTAAAAGCAGTACTTTCATGATTAAAAAAAAAAAAAGATGTACTGTATATAATACTTACATATTTTTAAAAATTCTCACTTAAGCAATGATAGTCTCAGGCGTGGCTGGGTGGCTCAGTCATTAAGCGTCTGCATTCGGCTCAGGTCATGATCCCAGGGTCCTGGAATCGAGTCCCACATCGGGCTCCCTGCTCAGCAGGAAGCCTGCTTCTCCCTCTCCCTCTGCTGCTCCCCCTGCTTGTGCTCTCTCTCTGTCAAATAAATAAATAACATCTTTAAAAAGAAAAAAGATATTCTCTTCCCTTGCTGTCAGAATAGATGACTTATTTTCTGCTAACATGATGAATTTCTGCTAACATTTGTCTTGAAGGACTTGATTAAAACAATGAAAATGTCAGATAGATAATTTTCTTGATATTCAAATAATGCAAACTGTTAGTTGACAAAATTTTTCCACTTCATTTCTTTTTAAAGATTTTATTTATTTGTCAGAGAGAGAGAGAGAGCACAAGCAGGGGATCCCCTCTGCGGTCTGGGCCGGTGAGATTCCGGGAGCCACATACGTACCCGCAGGGGAAGGAGACGTGAGGCTCAGCGGGGCGGCCCCGGACCGGCCCGGCCTGCGACTGTTCAGAAAGGTCTTACGGGAGTGTCCCCAGACCGGGATGTGATGGGGCTGGAAACCCACTCCAGTGGTTGAAGAAACTCAGAGGCACATGTGTTCCAATATTTAAAGGCTGTGTGAAAGAAGAATAATCCTATTTTGTAGGGCCAGGTGGGACCAAAAAAAGAAAAGCTACTTTGTAGCCACAGGGAAATTACAGGCTTAGGTTGACAAACACAACGAAGTATCTATATCTGGCCAAGAAGTCGGCTTGGGGCTGGAGATTCAGGCGTAAGTAAAAAAGAGACCTGCTTCCTGTCCTGGAAGAGCTTCCGCTCTCAGGGCGAGGGAGACAAACCTGGGCTTCTGTACTATATCCATGCCTCTTGACACGTAATTTTGCATTTCCTTCCCACTGTGAGCGAGGCAAACTACCGATCTCTCGACCTTGGGTTTGTCCACATGACTAGCTTCAGGCAAGCTGTGAGGCAGAAATGAAAGCGAGCCAGTTCCAGACTTAAGCCTAACGAGCCTTGTGAGTTTCCACTTGTCTCCATCGCGACTATCAGAACAGGCCTGACACTAGATGCAGAGCCAATGGCCTGCACACAGCGCCACAGTTGCCTAGGATCTAATCCCTGTAAGAAACCCCTTACTCTCTATCACTCAGGGCAATCTGCTTTTCTATCAAATTCTCATACAGAAACTGGGTAGCTGTAGGTGGGGTGCTGCCATTAACACAGACCTAAAACAGGTAGCATTGGTCTGGCGGAGGAGTGGCAGAGGGATGCTGGCAGGACTTTGGGGAGATGATCAGTATAAACCTCAAAAGCCTGGATGAGGGTGTTAACAGAAACCTAAAGAGGTTCCAAGGAGGCTGTCAAGGAAGGGTCACAGAAGAGAGAGGGAAACATTATTGGAAGCTGGAAGAGATTTTGATTATCAGTTGTATAGTTTAACAAAACTGTCACCTGTGGCAACACAGAAACTAGAAAACGTACCAACAAACGTAATGATCTAGCTAAGACTTCTGGGCAGTGTTGAGGATGACACCTGGATTTTTCTAGCTGCCTAAAATGAGAGAAGAGACATAATAGAACAACTTATTCCATTTCCAAATGCGATTTGTAGAAAATATAAAGGTCCATAAGAGTTTCTTAAGCCAGCAAAAGTTTCTTTTGGGGCGCCTGGGTGGCTCAGTCGGTTAAGCGACTGCCTTCAGCTCAGGCCACGATCCTGGAGTCCCGGGATCGAGTCCCGCATCGGGCTCCCTGCTCAGTGGAGAGTCTGCTTCTCCCTCTGACCCTCCTCCCTCTCATGCTCTCTGTCCCTCATTCTCTCTCTCACAAATAAAATCTTAAAAAAAAAAAAAAATTAAAGATTTTATTTGATAGAGAGACAGCGAGAGAAGGAACACAAGCAGGGGGAGTGGGAGAGGGAGAAGCAGGCTTCCCGCAGAGCAGGGAGCCCGATGCGGGGCTCGATCCCAGGACCCTGGGATCATGACCAGAGCCGAAGGCAGACACTTAACGATTGAGCCACCCAGGCGCCCCAAATAAATAAAATCTTTAAAAAAAAATTAATAAAGATCTAAAATCTTAAAAAAAAAAAAGCCAGCAGAATTTTCTCATGCTGAGAAATGGCTTCCAGGCAAAGATCAAATCCAAAGTGGGGCATAAGGTTTTCTGTTCATGAGGCTATTGGCTCTGCATCTAGTGTCGGGCCTGTTCTGATGGTCACGACAGACACAAGTGGAAACACACAGGGCTCGTTAGGCTCAAGTTTGGAACTAGCACGCCTTCATTTCTGCCTCACAGTTTGCCTGAAGCAAATGAAGTGACAGTGCTTCCTTCATAGGACATTTCAAACACACAAGGGCCCTCTACAGGTCTTACAGGCATAACCTTGTAGACCCTGTGCAAGGTTTCTAGAATCTCAGGGCTGTTCATCAGCCTCACAGGAAGCACAGTGTAAAAAAGGGACAGTCTCTTAAGGACGATTAGGTGGCTCAGTAAGTTAAGCTCTGACTCTTGGTTTCAGCTCACGTCTTTATCTCAGGGTTGTGAGTTCAAACTCTACATTGGGCTCCACACCCACCCACTGGGTGTGGAGCCTACTTAAAAAAAAAAAAGACTGGGTACCTGGGTGGCTCAGATGGTTAAGCGTCTGCCTTCGGCTCAGGTCATGATCCCAGGGTCCTGGGATCGAGTCCCACATCGGGCTCCCTGCTCCTTGGGAGCCTGCTTCTCCCTCTGCTTCTCTCTGTCTCTCATGAATAAATAAATAAAATCCTTAAAAAAAAAAAAAAAAGACAGTCTCCAACAGACTTATGGATGGCTTTTGTGTAATGGAATGCATTATAAATGGATACTTCAGAATTCCAAGGGTTAAAAAATTTTATCAGTTTCGACAGGGACAGTGTAAAAAGAGGTCTTAGGAGCTCTGATTTCTATGGGCAAGAAAGCAGGCTGAGAAAATCACTCCGCTGCAAACATGAGCTACCTTTATGGGAAAGGCAGGACTCAGAGCCACTGCGAACCCCTGGGAGGTATGCCCAAGCCCTCACAAAGAACTGGCAGCATGAGGCGGGCTGGACTTCAGAATTGCTATGGATAAGTGACTGGCATATGCTTCTCATGTTCCCTTTTTCAATGGGAGTGGTGAGGATGCCTAACAGGTATTTGGGATGAATAGGTCAGGTAGCTTGTCTCTTCAGTTCACAGGTCTTAAGACCTTTGAAACGGTATTTCAAAGACTCTCACCCGAGTGCCTCACCCACAACTGGACCTGATGAGATGAGCTCCTAGACTCTGAGCTGTTGTTATAATGGATACG